CTAAACAGAACATTTTGAAACTTTAGCAGTGTTTACATATTTCATCAAGCTCTTTCATTCCATAAGAAGTGAGGAAATGTAGGCCCTCCTTGATATTTTGGGCCTTTAAGCATCAAAAGTACAAGTATATAGCACAAACAGTGAAGAAGTAGCATATTGTGTTTATAATACATATACATCATACAAGAAAGTTTACAAGAAAGACTCTTTTTTACCATTTATATATATATATATATATATGTATATATATATATATATATATATATATGGTAAAAAAGAGTCTTTCTTGTAAACTATTACCAAAATCCAGTGTACTGTCTTCTTTGTGCCAAACTCATTTTCTGCCGTTTGCATAAGCATAAGCAATAGAAGAATGTCTAACTGAAAACAATACAAATATTCCAACTAAATGGAAAATACTGCTGATTTTTCACAATTTCAATTGAGCAAAAATCAACAATTGACTGAAAAGGTTACTTTAGAGAAACTTGGCCACTCAGATTTCTTTACAGTTGTTGTGATAGGAACCAGGGGTCATGATGTCTACGACACAATTATAGCCATTTTATTTATTTTATCCAATCCAAAATGACCAGTGAATATCTTGTGAGTTTTCATATGTAATGTTGATGATGGTAAATCATTCAATCTGGAAAAAAAAGTTTTCTTTGGGTACCAAGAATGGATTAAAAAACAATAAAATGGATTCCACCCGATGACCGCAGGGATAGGCTCCCCCACCCCCGCAACCCAGAAGGATATTAGGCCTAAAGATGATTTCAAAACCACTGTAAAACAGCACCTCGGGCATCATATTTGTAACCATTTAATGTGATAACTTTCTGTTATTGCTCACAGCCCTCGCTTCACTTCTCACCTCAGTTTCTATGCTGACAGATGTGGGACATACTATGAAGTTCTGCTGCAGTTTAATAGGGAGTTTATTTATTCAGGTTGGTTTTGGTAGCGACTTTTACTTCTGCTTGAGTCATTTAGAGTCAGTGAAGTAACAGCCATTAGCTAATGTTCTGGTTGTCAGTAATGGAAGAATCTGGATATAAATGTTGGAAAGGATTTTCTGGAATTCTTCTGAAGAGATTAAAGGCTTAACTACTTAAAGTACATCTAATCCCAGAAGCTGGGGATGTGTCAATAACATGCACTTGTGTTCCAGTAAGTAACATTAGCATCGCCTGCGGCTGTTGCAAGAGGAAATCTACAGATGACATGCTTCAACACGATGGAGTATGGGATGTATGTCCATATATGGTCACATGTTCTACTTTAACCCACTTTCCAAGTTCCAAGTAGGGAAGCCCACCTAGGTCCTGCTAGAGATCACTGATAGCATTGTTTTCAGATTGTTGTCGATGTACAGCGGTAAAGCTCTGTCTGTGGGTGCTTTCTGTTCTGTATCGTCGCCATTCATCTCAAAACATGATCCTCATACACTGTAATGGCAACCCGCTGAACAAACAACTCACACACCAGGCACACAGATGAATCTGACCCAGTGTTGTATGGCTTTCTCATGTGCTGGATCACACGTTTGGCCTCCAAAGGGTGTTAATGTTCTAATATGTCATATGTGTTAATGTCATATTAGGGCCCATATTCTACATTTTTACTGTCCCCTTGAGGTTTTCTGACATTATGTAAGATGTTTGTGTGGGTTTATTATCCCAAAAACATAATTACGTTTCACAACCTTTAGAATTGAACAGGCTGTTTTTGTTCCTTTAAGATTGAGATATGTAAATGAGCTCTGTTCTGACTGGTTGCTCTGTATTGTGGCTCATTCAAAAAGAAGTCCAGGCTGAAACATCTCTTATAACTTGAATTGGCATGAATGGACAGAGCTAAAGTGCTATAGGCTGAATAGGTGGATGTGTGTTGGACATGTGTTGGTTTTCATGACATCATAAAAACAATATATTTAAAACAGGCTTTTTTTGCAGCTTAGTTTTCATATATAGATAATATGTACATATGAAAGATACATTTTGAAACTTTAACAGGGTTACATGATATAGTGCTCCTTAATTAAAAAAAAATATTATTTTTCATGATATGGGCCCTTTAATACAATGTGTTTTTCTACCTTTATATCAAAGGTTTGTCAAATCTCAGGGCAAGTAAAGATCTCTTTAATAGAAAATGTAATGTTGGGAGAGACAAAGAGGCAGGATGCAAAAGCAAGTTGTTGGTTTTCTTAAAAATCCATGACACAAAGGTAACAAAACAAAGGCCAAACACTATGGAACAAATATTAAAACACAAAGAAAACTAAAGACACAGAGAGACATGAAGAAAACAAACGAGAGATAACCAAAACAGGGCCTGAGGGAACAAAACACCAAGCAAACACAAAGCACACAAGCAGGGGTATAAATGTGCATGGAACAAACTACAAACAGGGGAATGTAAAGTTTATAATATTTAGAAATCAACAAAACAAGAATAAAGTTAAAATCACGATCGATGATGTTGAAATAGAAAGGGTCTATGAAAACAAATTTCTGGGTGTGATAATTGATCATCAAATTATGTTGGAAACAGCACATAAATAATTTAAAAACAAAAATGCAATATAACTATTGCAATATTATATAAATCTAAAGATATCTTGAATCAAAATTCATTCTATATACTGTACTGTTCCTTCATAGTTTCATATATGGCCTACTGTGTGGAGGTTTGGGGGAGCACATATAAAACAAACACCAAGCCTATTTTCATGCTACAGAAGAAAGCTATAAGAATTATAAGTCGATCAGACTATTATGAACCAACCAATAAACTATTTATTAAATTACATGCTTTAAAATTCAGTGATCTAGTCGACCTTCAAACTGCACAGATAATGTACAAATCACAAAACAATTTACTACCAAACTGTATTCAGAAGCTGTTTGAAGCAATTAAAGAGGGCAAATATGGACTTAGGGAAACACGTATGTTTAAAAAACCAATAGCAAGGACAAATATGAAAAATAAATGTATATCTGTCAAAGTGGTATGTTTGCGGAATAATTGTGATGAGGAACTAAAAATGTGTAGCTCACTTTGCAATAAAAAAAAACGTTAAAAGATAAGGTGGTAAGCACTTATAAAACTGAGGAATGATCATTATTTTGTATGAAATGTTCTGAAATGTGGATTTTCTTTCTGTTTTGATATTACTCTGTATTGTTTAAATGCAGAATTGTATATGATTAATAAAGGGTAGTCAAAATAAGCTATAGCTTCAGACTACACCTTTTCGGTCAGTACTTGTTTTCGTATCGATTATTATGTCCGTTAATTTTATAGCTTTAATTCTTCCTTTTATTTTTGTGTTACCTATTATTATTATTATTTCTCTTTTATTTCTATGGGTGTAAACACCTTGATAAACTGAAATAATCAAAACAAACAAACAAACAAACATCTGGGACTAATAAGATGGCTACAGACAACAGAAAGGTGAGAGAGATAACAAGAAGGCAGGACCAGAGAGTTCCTGGGAGGTTTTTTACCAAACAGAAATGAGAAGCTGACTCACTTGATTTGCAAATTTGTTGTTTTCTGCTGTTTGCAGTAGCAACAGGAACATGTATGTTTGAATACAATACAAATATTGCAACTAAAAGAGAAACTTTTACATTACAATTTTGTACATTTTTTTTATAGTGGTGGTGATAGGATATACACATTTTATTTAGTATCCAAAACCACCAGAGTACGTACGTGTCCTCTGAGTTTTTATATGTAATGTTGATGATGGTAAAAATGAAAAAGTTTCCTTTAGGTACCACGAATGGATAAAAAAGAAATAAAATTGATTAAAAAATAAACTTATTAGGCCAAAAGCTTATCTCTATTGTAAAACAATTTCTCAGGCATTGTATTATTAACCATTTCATGTAATGGCTTTCTGTGGGAAAGCTTTACACCTTAAGTGGCCAGGACCTGCCAGCAGGCATACATTTTTGTTATACACTTCAATAACCTAAAAAGTAGCTCAATCATTTTGCATTGGAGTCCCTGTAGTTACTGAATAATAAGCCTTAGTGTGTAAAAAGCCTGGGATTTTAAGGGGTTAAGAGGCATTAAACTCTTCAGATGTCTGGTTCCTATCACCACTACTGTGAACAGTTTCAATAGAACTAAGCATTCTGCATCAAACCACTCTCAATGACTTTGTTTACATTTTAGCCGTTTAATTACGTGCTGTTTTCAAAAATTGGTGGAATTCCCCTGTAAGTATACACTGCTGCCCAGTTTAGATACAGTGATCTAACTCGTACAGTTGGCCTACATGCACTTGGCACTTTCTAACTTCCTTATTTGTCATCATACATCATTTTATTTCAAGTTTAATTAAAAAACACTGTCATTGAGAAATAATTGACATGAAAGCTACTGACATATCACATCACCAAGGAGTCACCGAGAATCTGCCTGAGTTTTCTGCAGCTTCTGCAGTGTAGAGTCATGGTAGAGTGGACCTGTTCATGGCTGCAGGCATCTGTTCTTCTGCATCTGTAAGACACGGGAATCTCCTCTCATGTCTGATAAGGTCCATGCAGCTCTGCTTAAACAGGTATGGACCACAGTTGCCTGCTTTTGCTTGCTTCGCTGGTATGGCATGAAAACAGGGCCATTTTAATAGAAATATAGTACAAAATACTGCAAGTTTTTTTCCAAAATAAAGTAAACTAGTGCACAAAATAGTGAAAAAAAGATTCGAATTTTTCAGTGTTATAGTTCATTTTTTAAATGATTCAGCAGCTTTTCAAATATGTATTCACAGTTTAGACATGATATTGCATTTACAGACTTGAGAAAAAAAGTAAATAAATAAAAGTAAAACAAAAATATAGATATAAGGTCATATTTCAACATAATGCCCTGAGCAACTTCATAAAATTAAATACAGCAATCAAGTAACATTTAAATCAAATTCCTAAAATAAAAAAAAATCCAGAATAATAAACAGAAGAAATCCTAGTATTTTCTTATTTACAGTTAAAAAAGTGATCGCTCTTCAACGTAGCAGATAGCTTGTTTTCAGAGTACTCGTACATGTATGGCCCACTGTACAGGTAGATGTAACCTGTAGAGAAAAGGAGAAGATTAATCCGAAAATGTCTTTTCAGATATTTTCACACATGTAGGTTTGCACATGTAGGGTTTAAACAAACCCTGAATTAATGCCTTTTTAAATTTTTCACTCATTTTTTAAGGCCTGAAACAGCACACGGCAACAAACACATGTATATTAACGCTGTCTTTGACAAGTCCAAACTTGACAGACTTGCCGCTGTGCCGCAGAGCTCCTTGTGGTTGTCATGGTTGCAGTTTCGACGCCATCAAGATGGCAGCAGAACAGCTAATCTTGCTTGTGGCAGAGCACAACAACTTATACGACAAGCAACACGAAAACTATAAAATTGCAGAAGTTAAAGAAAATCTATGGCAGACCAGAGCTGAGAGACTGGAGAATGGCGGTGAGCATGTTGCAGCAACTGTATACAACCATATATAACAGTATATAATTGTCATGTCTATGAAGAACTGCAAAGTTTTTCTTCTTTTTCCTTCTTTTGCCCTGATTTTAGCCGCAGTTCTCAGTCTGGCAAGGTCTGTACTAGTCGGCTCTAGTCTGCAGATTTTTGGATCAGTCGGAGTCGACAGTTGGAGAGAGTTTATCAAACGTTTTTGATTATTTTCGACCCGATTCTGAGCAAAATCTAGTGCAAACTAGATTGATTGAAAACAATACTCAAAAAGAGAAATATTAGATGCATCAACCAGATTTGAGATATCATTCACTTGCTAAGTGATACCATGAGTGTGAAAGTGCGCTTAGAGTTTGTTTTGCTTTTTCTATGTATTAGGTCCTCATTTTATTATCGCACCAGACTGTATGTTTACTCCCACCTTTATACTGAAAGGCTGCTGTAATTTTGCCAGTAATCCCTGGAAATAAATCCTTCACTAGTGTGGGCTGACTGCTGTCCAATGTTTTGCTCTTTTCATTGTAGCTGAAAAAAATGAACACAAGCTCATTAATGATGGAAGATGCGTGAGATCAAACACCTCTGTGGTTAATAACAGGTAACACTCACCTATAGAAGTTGCTGCCCACGAATAACAAAGTCTTGTCTGTTTTCTCATCATAGACGGCAGCGTTAACTTTCTGCACAGTATCCGGCAGTCCGAACCTGCTGCTGAGGCTCTCGAGATAGAGTTTCTCACTACTATAGTGGGAGAATACCCAAACTTGTGTACCTGCGAAACAACGTAAGTTCTTTAATTTCAGAAAATATTAAAATGTTTTGGAGCCATATGAGTCTAAACATTACATGATAACACCCACCTTTAAAAAAATACACTTTGTCCTGCACTGGATTCTCATAAGCGGCATCAATGTTATCAGGAATGTCAGGCCAGAAACTCCTGATATCGTATTGCTTAGTTTCTCTGCTGTTGCTGTAACTACGCCACAAGAAACTGCACAGAAAATGGAAATGTTAGATACTCCAGCTATTCCAAAGAGGCACACAGATTTATACTCATGAAGCCCCATATTTATCTGAGATTTAAGAAGATGAGAGTCACCTGTCTTTAAAAAACAGCTTTTCTCCTCTCAGGGTGGTAACTGCATCAATAACTAGCTTATGGTCACAGGCGTTTGGAATGACTGGAAATAAGGGTTCGATGCTGTTATCTTCAGTATCTGTAAATGGAGGCTCTTTGGTAACTGGGTCAGGCACAAATGCAGGCTCTTTGGTAACTGGGTTAGGCACAAATGGAGGCTCTTTGGTAGCTGGGTCAGGCACAAATGGAGGCTCTTCGGTAGCTGGGTCAGGCACAAATGGAGGCTTTTTGGTAGCTGGGTCAGGCACAAATGGAGGCTCTTTGGTAGCTGGGTCAGGCACAAATGCAGGCTCTTTGGTAACTGGGTCAGGTAAATATGGAGGCTCTTCAGTAGCTGGGTCAGGCACAAATGGAGGCTCTTTGGTAGCTGGGTCAGGCACAAATGAAGGCTCTTTGGTAACTTGGTCAGGTAAATATGGAGGCTCTTCGGTAACTGGGCCAGGCACAAATGCAGGCTCTTTGGTAACTGGGCCAGGCACAAATGCAGGGTCATTGGTAACTGGGTCAGGTAAATATGGATTGTCAGTGTATGGCCCTGGAAAATAACATTTCACAAGTTATACATTAGATATTATCCTTACCATTCATTTTATTACAAAACATCTACTTTGTTCTCCCACTTACTGGTCACTTTTTGCAACTTGTACACTGTAAGTCCACTACATAAGTGCACAATTACAGACTTTAGCCCATCTGTTGCTGGCCCCCCTTTACCTCATTCATCACTGGTCAGCTTCTAATCACAAGACTGCTGTTCACCAGATAATATTTGGGTGGTAGACTATTCTGATGTTGACCATTCTCTTTTACATATATCTATGTTACTGCTAAATTGAGAGCAACTGAGCAGAGGTCTTCAACTCCAGTCCTTGAAACCAGTTTACTGTTAGTTAATTGAACTCTTCACATAACTGACTGGACACCTGGTGTCATCCCTACCAATTATTGCAAAATTCAGGACCAATATTGTAGTTGAAGGCCTCTGAATTCGTGTAGAGCTAACACAAAACTGTGCATCAGCAGATGGACTGCAGTTTCTGATGGTACGCATTAACTGTGCACCACATGAAACTGGAAAAAATGTAGAATGAGAGTAAATGAAATTAATGTACAGGGATAAACACAACCATTGATGGCTATTTGATTCATTTGCAGATGATATCCTTACCATAGAGAGCCTGTATTCCTCTAACATCATCATCAGGCAAAGAAAATTGACCAGGATCCCAATACTGGTAGATGGGATACATCACGGCTTTAGGATCACTAGAGTGAAACAGTCCCAATGAGTGCCCAAATTCATGAACTGCCACCACGAACAGAATAAATCCTAAGAAGAGAGTTTGCAATTAGTGTATATAAGCTTTATAGTCAGAAGACCAACCTTCATTTAATTTCCAGTTATTCATTTTTCAAGAGATTTTTCAAAAACATCTTAAAATACACAGACTCCTAACAATTGTGCAAGACCTGTTAGACGACCAAAACTGCCCCCAACAGACAAACAGCAATTAAAGCTTTCATCTTTGAGAGAGAGGAGAAAATCAAGGTCTGCTCTTATAGCTGTGAAGAAGTCATTACTAAGCAAAGGAAATAGACAAATCAAACAAAAAAGCTGTTGGTGTTCTCAGAACAATAGACTGGCCACCTCAGAGTCCAGACCTCAACATCACTGAAAGTGTTTGGGTTACTTGAATCTTGAGAATCAGAAAATGCAACCAACTTCTAAGACTGAACTTTGGAAGTGTGGCTGCAGATTTCTTTGAGAAACTGAAAGTGAGTCTCCTAAAAGGATGGAGGCTGTAATAAAGGTAAAGAGGGGACACACTAAACACTGAAATAATGGGCATTATGTTTAGTCGTTGAGGCTTCTGTGCAATTTTCTGTTAAATCAATCTTTTCTACTGTTTTTCCTGACACTGTAAAATGAATAACTTGTACTTAATGGTTATTTTGACTGGAAGTTAAATAAATGAAGGGTGGTCTCTGACCTTTGCACTGTACTGTACTTATCATTTGTTTGTTTCATTCGTTAGGCTTGCTGAAAATGTGCAAACATTACCTTTTTGTGAATAGAGGGTGAAATGTTCATCCTTATCAAAATGTATGTCTCCACCAATGTCACCACTTTCAGGAAAAGGAGGGAAAGCATGAGCCAGGGTGCCATTTGGTCCATCAAAAGGGAAGAAGTCGCCGTGGGCTATGGGAAAGAAATGCAGCATTTTAAGTATGTACATTTTCACATTTTCGAAGAACCAAACAATTTTGTTACAATCCTCAAAATCAATGAACACGAACAACCCTAGAATGACAATGCAGATTCCACTAGACCAAATCTCAAAACTCAGTCAAAAAAAGAAAACGAGGGGAAAAAAACTCTATAACACACATTTCTGCTAGCGTCTCTATGGCACTCCAGTAGTATGTTAGTGCTAATCTAACATCGATTCACATGAATATTAATTTAAATTAGATGTTTGAAGCTTGTAAAGGACATTCCAAAAGTGTTATCTGAAGCTTATAACAGATAACATACATTTACCTAGCAGTGGCAGTTTTACCAAGATTTTTTCAGTAAAGAGTTCCGGCATAGAGCTTTTACTTTTTTCAATTCCTAACAACTAACCAAGACCTGGTTAGAGTTCTCACAGTCAGTGACATATCTAGAACTTCCAGAAGGTCTAGTGTAATGGTTTTTTACCCATTGGAAATCTGATTCCCCTGTCGGTTTTAAATTATGCTAGAGGTTAATCTGACCCTGTAGGCCCTCATTTCAGCTCTTGAAGTCCTAACCAATGGGAGAGCTCGCTTGGCTATATCTATCTAGATACCTTGTAGAAAAAAATCCTGATTGGATAAGTTCCTGTTGGCCTTTTTACGATTTTACCCCATTTGTTTCCAACCAAAACTTAACAATGAAATATGAATATTACTACAATATATTCAAATACAACAAGCATTTTGATTATATAAAAAAAAAGAATTAAAAATTAAAGGCAACTCTGTCTGAAGGCCTAAAAGGCCCTGCAAACTTACATGTGGTGAACTTACATTTACTAGCGAAGGAGATCGTGATGTCAGCTTTACCACTGTGGATGTGGGTGAGCTTGAGTGGAGTGACGCCAGCCCAGACTTGCGCTGCTTTCCATATAACATGGTCCACTTCAGGCTCAGGGATGTAAGGAGTGTAGCTCATAATGCTGTAGAAAAATTGGCCTGTGGTCAAGCTCGTGTGTTGACTCTTAATGGTTTTTCTGAGCTCTGCAACAAGTCAGCTGAGATCTTACCTGTACGTCAGCTGGTTCGTCGGCCATTTGACTCTATTACCATACGTGGAGAACGGAGTAACATCTGGTAAGCCACAGCGAGACATGCTCATCACGTCCAGTGTCTTTCTGTCTACTTGGTGCGTCACTTCGAGTCCTAAAAACCTTTGCATCTGGGCTAATTGTTGGCTCATGTCATCAGACCTTCTTCTTCTGGATGGAGATGCAGCTGGCTGTAGGGGTTTGTAGTATTTCTCCAGGTAAGCCTACAGAAAACATGAGAGCATAGAGTTAAAATGAGCATTTGCCTTATTTGACTTATATTTATAATTCCAATGATTTCTTTTGATTTTTCTAGAATTTAGTCACTGAGATGTCATTCAGAGTGGTTTGATGTAAAATAGCTCATAATAGAGAAGCTTAACAACTTCTTTCTTAACAGCGGTGGTGATAGGAAGCAGGGGTCACAATGCTAGCTAATGCTGTCCAAAACCTTGTTGCACAACCACCATTAAACAGTGACTCAGACAGGCATCAGACAACACATATGTAACAATTCCGTGTAATAACGTCCTGTGAGGGAGCTTTCAGAGGCATTAAATTCCTCAGACGTCTGGTTCCTATCACCACCACTGTGAACAACTCTGACTGTAAGTTTCTCTACAACAGCACATTTCACATCAAACCACGTCTTAACCATTTAATTATGCACAAAATTCTTCTTTAAGAAGTTTGCAAAGAAGTATTACATTACCCGTGCAAAAGCCTCATCTTCAGGTTTAATTTCAATGGATTCATCTTCATTAGAACGTGGAGGTATTGGCATTGAACGGACGACGATCACCAGCCCAATGAGAAGGCAGAATTTGTCACAAGTCTTCATGTTGTCCCCTCCTCAAGAATTCACATCTAGTTTGCTGGTATTTTCACTGTACATAGGGTCACATTGAGAACATGTATAGTCATTAGTCTAAAGATTCTATTCACAAACATCAGTATTTCTGAACTTAGACAGACAGATTTATTGCTTTTATGTTGAAATTATATTTGAAAGAGTGCAGTTTCTTAAAATCAAGACTTGCAGTTTTAAACTGTAGCCTAAAGGTTTTAACAGGCCTGCAGTTTAACTCCTTGAAAGGCCAGGGCCTACCGGCGTGCTCAAAGGTTTATTACACACTTCTATTATCTAAGAACAGCTCAGACGATTTGCATTGAAGTCTCTGTAGTTACTGAATAATAAGACTTAGTATGTAATAAGCCATTATAAACACTTATTGCATACTAAGGCTTATCATTCAGTGACTACAAGGACTTAAATGCAATTCTTAGGTTATAGAATTTTGTAATAAAACTTTGGGACCACCAATGGGCCCTGCCCTTTCAAGGGGTTAAGGGGTTAATTTATAGAAAATAATTACAATTTAAATCGCAATCAACATATTGGCCTGAAAAATCCTAATCAGATATCTTCTCCAAATTGTTGAGCCCTAGACACAACTGCAGGTCTCACCTCCTCAATGCTTTTCAAGTGCAAAACTATAATTTACAGTTAAGTTACTATGACATTTATTTATACATCAGCTACATATACAGTTGTATGCAAAAGTTTGGGTGCCCCTGATTAAATGACATGTTTTGTTGATTTTCTAAAATAAGTGAACACATCCTTTACAGCCTATATGTCAAACACAAGGCCCACAATCTTCTCCAGCCTGCAAAAGTATTTTAATTTCCTATTAATATTAGCCCGTTTCATAAGTCTCCAGCATGCACTGCAACATTTTGTGCACTCTGACTCTCCTACCCCAACAGCAGTCTATGGGACAGCGGTTACACCTCAATTCTACACGGTTCCACACCAGTTATATCACCACTAGCTGCATTTCTGCTGCTGTTCAACCAAATATATACACCTAACTTCAGCTCAGCAGCTCAGAAACTGAGCCCAAGAATTAATGAACTTTCAGCAAAGAAAAGATGCCAGGTGTCCAGTTCCAGCAGAGAGGCAGGTTTAAAAGACTGAGCTCCTAGGGACATTTCAATTTTGAATATTTCAAGTATCATGTCATATTTTCAGGTCTACTACAAGGTACTGTTTTTATAAGTTTCTGCATATTTCAAAAAAACAATAGTTAGTTTGTCTTGTAGCACAACAGTAATTAAAAATGAAATAAAAAATGTTTTTTTCTCTGGCCCACAGATTTGTTGAGATTTTCTAATGAGGCCCTTTCACTTGTTGAGTTTGACAGCCCTGCTCTACAGAGAACACCCTTTTAACACCATATTTTAATGCACAAGTGCTGTAAATTTACTCACCTACATCAAATCTTGACTGTGCAAAAATTAGACCATATTTTAGATTTAATAATTTGCCCCCCCACCACCCCACAGTATGTTAAATGCAGTAAATAAATAATATTCATGTATATAAATCTTCTGTTCTCTGTAAAGAAAGTGTTAACACTACTAGCATTTGGAATCAGTATGTTCAATAATAAAAAAGCCAATCTGTTCACATGTAATTAATATCATAGCTTTCAAGTAGTTAGTAGGACAGTAAAGAAATTTGTGTCCAGAATGATGAACGGAGCTGTAGACGATTGTAAAATGACTGAAAAAAGCAGTAAAACATTGAGAATGAAGGTATAATAACTTAATCTCCTGAGGAAAAGCTTCAAAAGTGGAGTATAAGACTGTAAAAAGATCTTTACAGTGTATCATTTATCATATTAGTCACTTTTTGTTCTCAGAATTGTTGTAATATTGAAATATTAAGTACCATTTGATTTGTAGTTTGTACTTTTTAAATCCACAAATTCTTAATATGGAAAATAATTCCAAACATTTAAATGGTATTTTAGTATATTATTGAGAATCCATCAATAATAAATAATGAAAGACCCTTTTATACCTGGCACAAAGACATTCTTAACAAATAAAACATTGAGACATTCAAGTATTAAATGACAGATGTTAACATTAAGCAATGCAGATCTAATAAAAAAAAAAAGAGTTTGAACATTGTTATGTCATAAATTATTAAAAAAGAATCTATTACTTACTTTTTTGTTACGTTCTCACAAATATTTTTGCAACAGATCTGGCACTAGAAGAATCGGTTGGCAAGCTTTATAATACCCTTCCTCCCCCTCCTCCCCACGATGCCTTTTTCAAAACAACGTCTCCAGTGAAATTCCTGTGAATTACTGGGTTCTTCAGTAAGTTGTTTTCTTGCAGCTTGGCCCACATTCCCTTATCAGCCTATACTGTTGTCTCCGGGGCTTTTAATCAATGCACCACCATGATACTCTGTGATACTCTACACATATATCACTGTAACTAAATGCCTTTCACATACCTATAAAATAAGATATGCACGTTTGCATTCTTATGGAAGTTCTTAAGAAATTGAAGCCTTTTGGTTTTTGCAGTTTTAATTAAAACAAAGCACCCAAACTGATGACCAGGGAACCGCCGTCATTTAGATGAACTGCGCTTATTATGAATGTTTTAAAGATTGCGTATAGAGTTATTAAACATATTTCATATTTTAAAAGTCTGATAATAGTGTGGGGTGAGTTTTCTGAAACCTCGTCTAGATACCCATTTTCAAAAAGTTCGAAAAGGTCACAGGGAAATCATTTTCTCTACTACTCAATGCAGTTTTGCTCAATTTAAGAAATCAAACAAACAAACTCAGTTTGCATTGAAGTCCCTGCAGCTACTGAATAATAAGCCTTAGTATGTAATAAGGCTGGAATTTTAAGTGGTTCATGAAAACCTGGATGCTCATAAAACAACAGTAGATAATTCATTCACATACTTGTCCTTCACCAAGTTTTGACTGAGTTCTATTGAAATTAGAAAAATTAGCCTTAGTATCTGATAAGCCTGGGTTTTTTAAAGGGGGTAATTAGGTTAAATGTCAATAGGGTTAATCACTGACTTGACCATAACTAGCTATGAGGACACCAAGGTCCAGACCTGGGTAGTTTCAGAAGGATTTTTCACTTTCCACCATTCATGACATTAAATGTAGAAACAGCGCCATTATGATACGGCCTACTCAGGGGCGCCGCCGCTGTATCACAGACCCACCCAATTGGAGACAGAATATTTATTATGTCTAATTTTGTATTATATGATTCGTTTTCTGTGAGCGCTGTCACTGTATTATGGCCAATGAATATCTGCCAAGCTCCATATTATTTTCTCAACCCTCCAATCACTGCTTAGCATCTGCAATTACTTCAGTAATCAGCGCCTGTGATGTTCGTAACTAGCGCTGGGACTCCAAGCTCCTCGGGGGGTTCTTAAGGGGTTTTATGAGATTCAGTGTGGAAAAAAGCGACAAAACTACTCAATGAGCTGTGACAGGTTCTCAGCTGACCTCAGAACAGCTGTGGCTATTTTGAACTGCCCGCTCCGCTCATCTCTGTATGAGACGCTACGCTGCCCTGAGTACCAGAGTAACTTTGACTTCTTGAGATGTTCAGGTGTGCAGCACACATGTTTTTTAAGTTTTATATAACATACAACATTGCTAAGAGTTTATTAACACATCAAGATTGTAAAATGCATTATTATTTCAATATATTTCATTTTTTGTTTGGACTGCTCATAATGTTGCTAGCTAAATCAGCATGCTTTAGTCTAGCTCCAGTACTGCTCAGTTTAGGCTACAGGCTACATAGTTGGCTATGTTAGGGATTAGATAAGAAATTAAAGCTGTAATTTGTTACCTACATAACATACTAACCAGCATGAGCAAGTTAACAGTTAACCAGCATGTTATTGGCAGCGTATCATGTAACTAATATTATTAAGGAATCAGCAGATTCGTCAGGCTCTATCTTGCCTCATTAACTGTACGAGTAACTGCCTTTCCTGTTAGCTGGGGTTTGGCACAGACTACGTATGTTTAATGTGTGCTTTTACTGTAAGAGAGAGACAGAGAGAGAGAGAGAGAGAGAGAGAGAGAGAGAGAGAGAGAGAGAGAGGTAAATGAAATAAAATCAATTTGAAACTATCATTGTATTTAGTGTTGGCTTCAACACATATTTTCAGCTGAAATGAAACATATAAATAAATATTTAAATAGTTAATGGAATAAACATAAACATGGCAACTGGAGTGGGACAACAGGACTAATGATTTGGTAAAAAAAAAAACCCTAAAGGAGAAACTTACGGTTGGTGTAATAATTTTGATCCTAGTTACAGCCCTGATCACTGAAGTTGCAAATCTGTATTAGTTTGCTTCCAAAATTAGCAATCAGTAAAGTATTTGGTTCTATTTATTAACTATTTGTGCCCAATTTCAGAAAACACTTCAATTGACAGTGCTGGCCTTAATAAGTCGTTTTTCCGTGATGTCACATCAGCACAGAACAAGACGTTTTAAGCTTTTTTTTTGAGTTTCTTTTTGTGTATGATAGTGGTCACCAACCGTTCTCCTGAAGATCTACTTTCCTGCACAGTTTAGTTGCAGCCCTTACCAAACACTAATGCATCTGATCCAGCCAATCAAGGGCTTCTTACGAGCTTAAGTAGCTGGAGCAGGTGTGGCAGCCCGTGGTTGGGACTACACTCTGCAGGAAGGTAGAAATCCAGGACGATAGTTGGTGATCACTGGTGTAAGATATCTCTAAACTCAGGGGGATATAGGGGTAATTGCATGGTTTAGTCGTTCTGTTCTGAACAGAGTGGCATTGCATGTCACTTTTCTGGCACTATATTAACAGTGAATTGCCATAGTTTTAAAATGCATGAAGCACTATCCAAACAACTCTGCAATTCTGGTACAAAAGTTATTTTTAAGAGCCTTTTATTCACCCACAGCAGCCAAACAAAAGCTAGATTGCTAGATTGCATCCATTTTTGCTGAAATTAAATTAACTTTAAATGAACATTTTGAACCGGGAAGTAAGAAGCTCAGACTCTTCACAGTCCCGGTTGTTCCCTGTTGTTACGAATACAGACGAACTCTCCATCAACCCAGCCCCAACTCCCTTAAACCCTGAAATGAATATGTAAATACTTCAAAAAGAAAAGGAATAAAAGCAATTAGTAGACTGAAAGAACTGAACAGGTCTGAATGCATGAAATGCTAAACATTTTTATTTACAGTCGTTCCCAGTTTAAATGCTTGTTGCTTGTCCTTTTTAAAGACCATGTAAAGCAGTAATAAATATGTGCTCTGAATTTGTCACACCACAGAAAATGTGTTATTAAGCACCCAGCCATGAATCAGTCAAAAAATCTCCAAGAATCTCCAAGAAAGAAGTCGCAGGAAAAATGCAGCCTCTCTCAAGTGCCAAATACCACTACGACTTGAAAAATGAACGCTTTGTCTTGTACAGCCATACGTTTGAGCCGCCACAGTCAGACTCCAATTCGAAGCCAGACACTGACCTATCCAAAAATCAACCTCTTTCCTTTTAGTCTGCTACAGAATGGTATTTTTCTCCTGTTAGCCCAGCTGAACGTAGTGAAGCAGGCGCTGTCTGAGGAGATGTAACGGGAGCCGGCGGCCTGAAGGGGTTAGAGTAGGCCGGCTGGCTGATAGCGCCTTTAGCTTAGCTGAAGTTGCCGAGGCTAGCGCTGTAGTTTTTCTAACGTTATCGTGTGAGGGGAGGGGTCATGTGAAGTATGGCTCCAGTGGGTCATCGAGCCATGATTTCAGGCCCAACCAAAAAAATCCTGAAAAGAAAAATGATGAAAAACAGTTGAAGAGTCTCCACAATTCAGTACTACAGTTCACAGTCTGTTCATTTTCTCATATGTATAATGTGTTAAGAAACAAATCTGTGAATTTCCTTAACACAGACTTTAACCTTTTTAACTCCTTGAGACCACCGGTGGTTGCAAAACGCACTTCGTCATATTCTTCATAACTTTCATATTTCATAAGATATATTCAAAAGGTGGGGGTCATATGAGAGCTGTAACTGTCTTCTTTCCAGTCAAATAGATGGGTGATGTAATTTTAAACCCTCATAATAAAAGAACCTGAACTCACTATTTTTTTCTACTGAAAGTCGACCCATTTTTCCACAAATCTGGGCTATAAACTATAAACAGATGGCGTCTCTTCAGCGATCTGCTCTGTAAAAATTATTTTTATAAAATAATACAAAGGCCGTCTAAGATTTTTGCCTTTCAGTAGTAAATTGCAAGCATATAGCAATATGTGTGATCATAAAACACATTCTGTTAATTTGAGGGGAGTTTTTAAAACAAATAAATAAATAAATAAATAAAATAAAAATTTACATTTATTTCATGCAGTTACTGAATAATTTGCCTTACGATTTGGTCACGTAAATTCAGATGGAAAAACCAAAATATACTCTGGTGAATAGGGTGTTTCTGAAGTTCGAGCATTTACATATTTACATATTTACATTTAAAACAACTGACCATTTTTTTTTGGAATAATATTTTGCAAACACAGACAAGCTCTTAAAGGGCACAAGTGACCACTTTAAGCCAGGTTTCATCTTGTTTCAGAAAAGTCACAATGAATTTCGCATGTGAATAAACACGTCAGTTTTGCACACATTAAAATTGTGTTATCAAATGTGAAAGAAGGTGTGGTTATTTGTTAAGACATGGTTTTTGCACATATCACATGAAATAAACGTGACTTTTCTGTAAAACGTTTGTTCTTTATTTTATTATTTCCTTAAATAAATCATATGAAAATGCTGGGTTATTTTAAAAGAAGAGAAGTTGATATTTAATTTCATTAGAAAATATACTAAACTATACTAAAATATACTAACTAAAACCTAAAAAATACATAAGAAATATTTTTAATTTCATGGTTGCCTGTTTGAGGGGTTTCCTCATATATTAATATAAATATATGATATAAAATGTGCTGCATAGTTAACATTTTTTGCTTAAAAGCATCAAAAATGCCCAAATCTTCTGAAAAAAGCATCTGAAATAAGTAATTTCTTTGTACACACTGACTGAGTCATGGTGTGTGTTCTTGCTGCATCTCAAAACCTTCCTTGTAATTTCTAAAAAACAAGCAGACTGAGATGCATTCGAGAGTTAATGTTTCTTGGCAAGAGATCTTGTTTGGCTTAAGTTCCAACTGATAACAAACGATCCAGAAATGTTTTAGTTCCAGAAAGATTTCTGATGATGATATTTTATTTTGGGCTCATAGCAAAGTATTTTAGAGTCATTAAAGTGATTTGTCATAGATTGCATAAATTCAAGATTTTTAAAAAAAATTCGATCATTTTTTAAAAAGTGCTGCATTTTTTCATAAAGATTCTTTTCTTTTTGCCCTTCACCAATTCCACATAAATCAACACATTCTGATCAGATACTACGTAAGATTATATTTTAGAGAAGGAATGCAGGGAGAAGTTATCTTAGGCTCTTTAAATGGATTATGTAAGTGTATTACAACAAACAGGGCCATAGAGCTGTGGGGACAGAAGGTTGCAATGTCCAGTGCTTGAGTAAAGTTAGATATACCCCTATTCTGTATTTAAATTTTTACTTGAGTTGAAGTACAAAAGTACTTCCCTTTAGATGTAAATTATATGGCCACTGTGTAGGACACACTATAAAGGTACACTATATGAGCTTCTTGGACATCCTATTCCAAAGCCATGGGGTTTTATATGGAGTTGCCCCCCTTTTGCATCTATAACAGCCTCCGTTCTTCTGTTATAGCTTTTTTACAAGTTTGTGGAATGTGAATTTTTGCCCATAGCATTTGTGAGGTCAGGCAATCAGTGTTCCAGTTCATCCCAAAGGTCTTCAGTGGGGTTGAAGTCAGGGTCTGTACAGGCCGCTGGAGTTCCTCCACACAAAACTTGTCAAACAGCATCTTTACAGACCTCACTTTATCTGCAAGGACACTGTCATGCTGGAACAGTAAAAGTTGCCACAAAATATATATGGAAGCATATAATTGTCGAAAATGTCTTTGTATGCTGTAGCATACAAGAACTAAGGAGCCCAAACCCTGAAAAACAGTGTCAGATGATTATCAGTCCTCCACCAAACTTTACTGTTAGCAGTATGTGTTCCAGTAGCCAGCGTTCTCCTGAGGCCCACCAAACCCAGCTTCATACATCAGACTGACAGATAGTGAAGTGTGATTAATCACTCCAGAGAACGTTTCCATTGCTCCAGTGTCCAGCGGCGGCGTGATTTACACCACTCCAGCTGACACTTGGCATTAGTGATCTTAGGCTTGCGTGCAGCTGTTCAACCATACATAAAAAGGATAGGTGGTGTTTGTGTGCTACTCGCTTCAGCCCTGTGTGACTTTGTGTGGTCTACTGCTTCATGGCGGAGCTGCTGTTGCTCCTAGAGGCTCCCATTTCACAATAATAGCACTTACAGTTGACTGAGGCAGATCTAGCAGTGTGGCCTCCTATGACAGTGCCACGTTTAAAGTCACATACCTCTTCACTGTTACCCATTCTACTGTTAGTGTTTTTCTATGGCGGTTGCTTGGCTATGTGTGTGTTAGCATTGAATTAAGACAGGTGTCCACATACCTTTGGCCATACTGTGTACTTAAGTATCAAAATTAAAATGTGAAAGTATGGTGGGACCCTTTACACTCTATTCTCCTCAACTTCACAGCATTTTCCTTCATTCTGACTCATTCTATGTGCAGATACTAAGCTATGATTGGATGTTCAGTATTTAAGAGCGGGATTTAGTGAAAGGTACAATATGATTGGTTTATTTGTGAAAGTTCATCGATTTAATTATAATAAAACTCCTTCAAATTTTGAGGGTAGTAATTGCTTTGCATTTTGTTGCTATTGGGTTTCCCTATTTGCTGCTTCAGGAAAAAGAAACAGGATTTCAGACCCATACAGACTCAAGAGGAACAATGTGGCCACTTTCTTTATATCTTATTATACTTTATTTATATCATATTTGATGCAGTCGATATAACAGAACAATCAGAGACAATTTGCATATATAACATATGTTTATTTTGCAGGTCAATCTGTTCAACTGAATCACACTGAGTACTTAAAAGACAGTAACACAGGATATATTGAGATGTGCAGAATGATTACTTTATTAAATATGTGATCAATAAAAAGTATATTGTAATAATTTAACAATATTTTCTGTACTTGGCTATGCTCCAGGTTTGACATGGCTTAGATGGCACTGCAAGATGTAGTCATTATTAAGCACACCTATTACTTCGTACTCAAAACCATGTGTTTCAGTGAAGGCTTTATGTCTGGAGGCGTCAAGCTTTTTGGTTTGGGCCTGGAGAAATAAGCCAGTTATTAGAAAACATATATGACATGTATAAAAAACACCAGAGACTGACTTCAAAAAACCATGTACATACCATAGAGAGACTGAATTCCGCTGACATCATCCTTTGACAGAACAAATTTGCTTGGATCAACAAATGAGTAGGTAGGATACATCAGAGCACTGCGGACGTTGGAATGAGCGAGGCCCAGAGAGTGTCCAAATTCATGAGCAGCCACCAAGAACAGAACAATTCCTACAGACATTGCATGGTGAGTTCATCCACACTTTACCTCAGACGTTTATTGTATTTAATTGTTAATGATACGTGAGCCTTACCTCGGGGTGAAGCTGAAGTGAAGCGCTCATCATCATCGAAATGTGCATCTCCACCGATGCCAATACCAGGAGAAAAAGCATGAGCCAGGGTGCCACCCGGTCCATCAAAGGGTTGATTATCGTTATGAGCTTCAAGAATAAAAGTGAATAATGGAAAGAACATTAATAAAATTAAGAAATAACTGAAAAACAGGAAGAAAATTGAAGAATTTAAAACTTTTTTTCAAATGTACTACAGCTTAGTCTGTGCCCGGTGATGGTTAGGCCTCTTCGGTGTTAACCCCTAAAAATCCCAGGCTTAATAACATACTAATACTTCAGTAACTAAAGAAACCAGTGCAAACTGGCTGAACTATTCTTAGGTAATAGAAGGGTGTAATGAAAATTTGGGCCCACTGGTGGGCCCTGGCCATTTAAGGGGTTAAAGTTTGCCTTTCAAAAACTGTAAACCATTTCACATGTGTCTATGATGTTGACTGAATGAAGAATGATGTGATGAGTCAGTCCTTTGTGATTTCCAAAGTGTTCATTGGTCAGTTTCACACAAAATGTAGATGGCAGAGGTGGGAACAAATCAGTACGTTGCATGTAACAAGTAAGTCTCAAGTCTTGACACTTGAGTCCCGAGTCAAGTCCCAATCTTCAAGAACAAAACAAGTCAGCCTGCACTCTTTAGCTAATATAAGCCTTTTTCAACACTGAACACCAAAAATGATAGTAACAGTAATATAGCCTTTTAATGACAATATGTTAGTAGTGTGTGGCTATATATTAATGTTTAATTTTTTTTTTCACCCTTCCAAATAAAATACAAAATCCATGGTACACCGATTACCATGATGGACATTATGGTATACATGAAGAGTGCAACTACACATGAAAAGTATTAGTACTATTACATTTAATTTTAAATTTAAAAAAATATATTCAATGACAATTTTTGATAATTTTGGGAACATTAAGCGCATAGGATTAAAATAAAAAACAGCTGAGCACTAAAACTAGCTCAGCAAACAGCCACTAGTTTGAATTGAATTTAGACAACAGAAACCAAAACGACCAAGCTGAACAAAGTTTATAGAAAAGACATTAAAATGATGAAGCTGAAGCTGACTTTTCATCTGCCAGTGTCTTATTTGAATTTTCCATTCCACCTTAAATGGTGCAGCAGTTACGTTCCAGTGCCTAACTGCTGCACCATTTAAGGTGGAACGGAAAATTCAATTATGAAGCTGGTGAATAAAAAGTCAATTTCTCGGTTAATGCTGTGCTTCTTTTAACTGCAGAAGCCATTAAACATGGTCAAATAGAGAGAGCTGTGTTTCTTTTGCTGCCATGAGAAAAATGGTCAGTTTGCCTGGTGAATTTCTCTAGTAAGAGTTTAAGTGCTCAGTGCGAGCTTATTCACGCTTTTGACGCTTTGCTTGCTTCTAGCTTATGGAGGTGAACTTGAACTCTAATGCTTCACTTGTCTTCCAACATAAAATAAGCCAAGTATAAGCACAGTGATAGAAACTTGAGGACGCTGAAGTAAAGTCAATGAAAGTGTGTTTCCTTTTTAAGAGATTGTTGCATCCCATTAAATGTCTCTGAGGAGCTCTGAGACAAAATGCAGTTTGCAGCTATCAGTAAAGCCATGTTAAGATGAAATTATATCAAGAGCAGCAATGCTATGAGCATAAAAAGCACAGAGTTACAGCACCATGAATGTGGCTTCATAACAGGTCCTTGAAAAAACCCAGTTGTTAGAGCTGAAATCTGTGCCCATAAAATGAAACCAGACGACAAACTGCCAGCTAAACATCTCTGTTTGCTCCTAGCAGACTTGCTTTAACTGGTTTACAAGTTATATTTCATTTATAACTGCATTCTGCCCTCACTAGCAAGCTGAGCAGGTAGCAGCTAACCAGCTATCCAGCTAACGCACCAATAATAAAAGACAGACTTCAAGTTTAAGCCGTTAAATAAAGCAATATTTAACATACAAAATAAAGAATGTTACTTACATGCCTGTTACAAGCTTAAAATGTCCATATTAAAACGAGAGCTGACATAAAAATCCCATAAAGCACAGAGCTAACCCTGCTAGCTTGGCACTAACATAGCTAGCATGGGAAAATACAAGGAGCGTTACTGAAGCGACTTCTACATTAGGCATTGCTGTGTATTGCTTTACGGTTTTCAGCCTATACCTGTTAAGCGGTCTTTTCATTTTAGGCCAAGAAGTTCTGGGACTACAAGCTTGGCTGTCACTACAGCCGAGCAAAGCTAAATCAGTGGTTGGATACAGAATGTTTCGATCTAGAAAGCGCAGAGCTACCTGGTGGTCCTCCTTCCATCAACTGCCAACTGCAAAAATGGTAGTAAAAGCAGTTTTTCAGATCAAAGGACAGTTTATTGCTTCCCAGTTGTCCACTAAGAGTATTTATTTATCTATTCTTTCATTAATTTCTTCGAAAATTCAAAAGGCTCTGCCAATAAAAATGATGCGGAATCGCTCCATTGCAGTTCAACTTGACTAAAGTGATTTAGGCCTAATCCCACTTGATGAACTAGCTACTTTGTCAGCTAAACTTCCAGAAAACAGCAGCACCATGAATTTCATGACCTCTCGAGTCCCACGCTGCTCGAGCATCCTGCTGTGTGAAGCTCTCTTTTCTCTTCAGTGGCCACCCAATCATGATGGTATGGACTCCTCAGGCTCTGATCAGACTTAATGTCTGCTTTTAAGTAAACTGATTCATCTGCAGTCTTGCCTAGAACCTGCCTGACCGTTTCAGGTTAGTTATAAGCTTTCTGTCACTTGCTAATTATTCCACAAAGTATGTAGAAATACTTCCATACATGACTTGCTTCTTCACATCGTCCTCCCATCCTTTCATGGTAAAAGGATATGGTAAAACAAAACCACCTTGCTTTAACGTCGTGTTTGTATGCTCTATGAGTATGAGTCTATGATTTAGTACATATGTTTACAGACTGCCGGAAGTTTTGCACATATTTTGCACAAGGCACGATTAGGTTCAGGAATATTGTAGATAAGCATTTAACGGATTGTTTGCCTTCACTTCGCCAGAAGTACTGTCCATAAGTCACTCATCATGGGCCGCACAAATAAGATGGATAGGTCTACATGTTTAGACATGTGAGTGCTTTATCTGGCTGCAGTGTTTGTTATGTGAGAGCAAGTTAAAACGCTTTTTTAGCTTTCATTTAGAACAAGAATGCCAGAACTCTACATGCCTTGAAAGATACATCTACTGAAGGAATATAAACTTTGAAGCTTATCATTTGCATGGCTCTGACTTTCTCTCATGCTTGCACCATTTATTACCTTTAAACTTCTTTTTTTTAAGGTGACAGTTTTTCTCACAGTAGATATGTGTCTGTATATTTGATGTATATTCAGTGATTATCAATGCTCCTCCTGAAGATCTACTTTCCCGCAGAGTTTGGTTCCAACTTCCAGCTAACATGCTGCCTCCTCCTTACCCAATACTAATGCGCCGAATCCAGTCAATAAAGGACTTAATTAAGGACTAAGAAGTTAATTAGCTGGATTAGGTGTGGCAGACTCTGCAGGAAGGTAGATCTCCAGGTCTCTCAATTGAACTATGTGTATATTAACTTCAATAATGTTTATCATATATTTAGATGGAAATTTGTTTCATTTACAAACTCGTAAACAAACTAGATTTTATCTTCAAAAGTGAGCGTATAAAAAAATATAGTTTACGTAAAAAAGAGCACAGATAGGAACACCTTCAATGCTCTACGCCTGATTCATGAAACTTTCATACAACGTGGAAGCAAATGGAGACTTAAGCGCAAATGATAAATCAGCTTTAGTGCGTGAAATCAAGCACCAGTCTACCAGTTCATCGTTTACTTATCATTTACATCAAACGTCCAAATTCATGCAGATGTTTCAGTAGGGAGCCAATAAAATGGCAGCATTCAGTAGATCTTAAGCCAATGGCTGTGCATGTGCAGTTTGAGGTCGAGCAGTGAGTGTACTGCTCCCTATACCGACCAAAGGTACAGTGTTAAAATTAGGACTACTGGAAAGAATAAAATGTGGAATAACCTCACAGTAGAATGTTGTGATTGTGTAGCATGTTTTTTTTTCTAATTTTATAAAGCTGAACATATTTATTTAAGGTCCTATTATAACTTTATACATGCAAATAATACTCACATACTGATTGTTGTACTCTCTTTAAATGTACTGGTTTGTTTTATGAGTGAGCTTACATCTTCTAGTGAAGGAAATCACGATATCGGCTTCACCACTGTTGATGCGGGTGAACCTGAGGGGAGAGACGGCAGCCCAGACTTGGAAAGCTCTAGCGATAGAACTGTCCACTTCAGCCTCAGTCATGTCAGGAGTGTAGTTCACAATCCTGTAGAAAAAAATACCCTATGGTCAAGCATGTGCAAAGGCTTTTAATGATTTTTCAATTTTGATTCCTTTCTATATTCAGCGACAAGCTAGTCATGTTCTCACCTGTAAGTTAGCTGTGTCTTCCGCCATTTAGGACCAAATGTGGAGAAGCGAGCAACATCTGAAAATCCACAGCGGGGCGCCTTCATCACCTTCATCGTGTCTGGGTCCAGAGATCCTGTCACTTTGAGGCCAAAAAACTTCTGCATCTCAGCTATTTTCAGACTCATTTGGTTAGTCCTCCCTTTGGAATCGGCCCCAGTGAAATTGTAGAATTTCTTCAGGTAACCCTGCAAACAATAATAAAGGTTTTTGTGAAAAGTTTAAAGTTACATCAAGTAGTAACTCTCAAGGACAGTCCTACACATATCTCAAAGGTAGAAATATTTTGTTAACCTAGGCAAGTATTTCTCTGGAGAACATGATATTTGTCATGGTGTGCCACAAGGTTATGTCCTAGACCCACTTTTTTATTTTCATTATACAAACTTTAAGTCATATTATTAAAGAGCATGGTGTCAGCATTCATAGCTATGCAACTGATACACAATTAGATACATTTGTAGATGATACCAGTACTTTAAATGAACTAAAATTCTGTCTATCCAGTATCATTACCTGAACATTAAAAAACATTTTAAAAATGCAAATGATACAATACCTCTGCAAAAGCTTCATCGTTCTCAGGTTGGAGTGGTATTGGACCTGAATGGACGATGACCACCAGGCCAACAAGAACGCAGAGTCTGTAGTAAGTCATGCTGTCTCGTCCTCAATGATCTGCTTCTGCTTGGCTTGGATTCAGGTGGTTAGTGACTTAAATACACTTAGTTGGGCGGCATGTTGAGTAACAGACTTAGTCATTGTCTCAGTCTATTAGGAAACATTAGGACTGATGAACAGGTTTACACCCAAGGAAATGTCTTCAAGGAAATGTTATTTTTAACTGTCTTTGTTCTCTTCATCTGTCTTTATTGTGTTTTTTGGGTTTATTTCTTCAGTTTCAAGCAATTTATATTCATTGCTAAATCAATAATAGTAAATTCCATAGCATGGCATTTTTATGCATATTTTATCATAATCAGCATCTGTTAGATACATGTTTGATAAAAGACCTAAGATCTAAAAGATCTTGACTATTTGATTTGATGTTTATTACCAAGTGCACAAAATATGATAATCAGGCTTTACATAAATATAAATATATTTATAGAAAACATCATGTATTTGCAAAAAACTTGCTTTCAACCAAAAAAATTTCCCCTCAAACGTCACACAGGCACGGTAAATCATTCATCAATGTTGTCATCAATGTACTTACTGTGCTCTGAAGGACACCCCCACAAACCAGCCTGGCCAGTTCTTTATGTGAAATAGAAAAAACAGCATCATTGATGACTGCCACCTCACATTGGAAGGATTGGAAGGAATCTACTGCAGTGAGGGTATTGAACAAGGAAGGCACTAAAACTAGGCTTCAGGCACAAAACACACCCTTATTCATGTCTATTGTTAGCTTTGTGTAGTCTAAAAGACTTCCTTTTCTGCTCTACAGTGTGCACAATACATCATCAAGGAAGTTTTCTGCCAGCAAGCTCACAGCACCAGCATGAAAAAAAACAAAGGACCCTCTGGTTCTCCTGGGCATTACCGAAATGTATTGTTTATTTCAGTTCTAGTACTTTTAAACTTAAGTGCTGCTTTTGATACAGTAGATCCTGATATTCTTGTGAATTGTCACAAAACTGGGTTGGCTTCTCGGGGAAGAGACCTACAGTGTTTTGCTATAGACCTTAAAGGTTGAAATACTTTAGGCAAGCATTTCTCTAGAGATCGTCATATGGTGATACCGCAGGGTTCTGTACTAGGCCCATTTTTATTTCTACTCTTCTTTCATAGCTATGCAGGTGATACACAATTACATATTTATTTAGATGATACCAGAGCTTTAAATAAACTACTAATCTATCTATTCAGCATCCAGTATGGTCATTTGTTAAAATGAAACAAAGAGCAACAAAAACACTTATTACTGGAAATGAAGAAATGAGAATAAAGATTTGAGAAATTCAGCTAATAAAATATGAAGTTAAAGTTCATTAACATTTGAATGTCATTGTGATAACATTAGTAATACAACTTTCTTTAATTTATGAAATAAAGCATGAGCTAGACCTTTCCTCATAATGCTAAGAAGCTAAGAAGCATGATTCATGCTTCTGTTTTTGTTTTGTCTAGACTAATATAGTGCATTATTCACAGGATTAATTAAACCCCTATAGACAGATTGCAGCTCTTTCGTAATGCCACCGCCAGTGTACTTACCATGTATGAAAAGAGAGAACATATTACATCATTGCACTGTCTGTTTCATTAAGAATGGATTTGTAAGATGCTCCTACTGGTTTTTTAAGTTCTTAATAAGGCGGCCCCTTCATACATTGCAGAATGCCTGACTGTGTTCCAAGTTTTAAAAAGAAGGTGAAAACATTTTTATTTAATTTAGCATTTTATTAGCTGTTCTGTGTCATATGTTGTCATTACTGGAACAACTCCAGAGAACAAATCTCACATCATACCAAAAATGTAACATTCATACATGTAAATTAATTCACATTGATTTTTTTCAAAGTCATTTTGGACTATGTTTACTGGTCAATTCTACATGAAATTTTGACATAAGGTAAAAAGCAGCTGTTATGTTATTATGTAAAAAAATAATGAATAAAAGAGAGTTAGAGATAAAAAATAAACTTGTCTGAAACATAAGAAAGAAAGTTAGCAGAAACTTTGGGTGTTCAAATGGGTGAAAAGTTTATTTTTGTTGTTCTTTTGTACATAAAAACCCTCCTAATTCTACAGACTCTTCAATTTTCATTGCCCTTCTTCCATTCTATCTCTCAGCAGCCTGCTGCATGAAACTAGCCAGCTAATGACAATGATCAAATATGGGAAACCCCTTCAGTGCCATCATAAGTACACTAGATGTCACTGTTTTTATTCCCAGCAACAAGAAATATATTCTCTCCAGAAAGCATACGGACTTCCTGGAGAATTATTCAAGTTCAACCAGAAATTCCAGTCTTTTTTATTTAATGTTTTTTTTTATTTATTTGTTTTGTGCTTGTTAGTCAAACCTTTTATCAAACAGTTACTAAACCATGAAAAAGTTGTAGCACATCTGTGAAATTTTTGTATGTTAATGAGAACGTCCCACACAAACTTGATGCTTTGGTGCTCCAGTAAGAAGTGGAAAAAAACAAGCAATTATGTTTTATTTTATATTTTATGCTTTTATTATACAAACACCTTAATAAACAAACAGTTGACCTCTTAATAAAAGTACAAATGAAGGGTTTTGTTGCAAAACACATAAACCATTGTGGATTTATTTTTCATTTTTATCAGATACATTGTTAGGAGTAGAAGCTTTACACACACAAGAATTAATTATGCTCTAATATGTTTAATACCACCTTTAGTATAAGAATAAAATTGTGTTTTCCATTAACGTCAGCTGTAATTCTTTTCAAAACCTGCTGTATTGAAAATTGTTACAAATGGACGTATAGTGTTTCGGATGAAACCCTTCAAATATGAACTACTAGCAAACAATCACACAAAAACAAGACAATAATCAATTTTACATTCAAACTAGGATCTGAGCATAAACTCTTACAAAATAGGCTAAAGTCAAACGCTGAGTCCTGGAAAAACTGTAACCTGCATTACATTCTTTATGCAGCAGCGATTACAAGCGGTATCTACACAAAATTTGCTTTTCTGCTGTTTTTGAACCCTTAAAATGGTTTGCAAAGAACAAAGATGGCACGCCTGCGGTGAGCAAACCACTAGTGGTCAAAGCCCTCTCCAGCAAAGCCAATTCGCTGGATCCTCAACAGCATTAGCCCCAAGATGGCCCAAGATGTCTACCTGCGAAGTGAGAGACAAAGAAAAATAGCTAAAGCCATACACATCGGAGACCAAACATGCCGTTTAGGTCCAAACTCTGCCTCCTAATTTCACCCACAACACACTCAGGGCAAAAGGAACCAGACAGCCCAGAAGGTTGTAACAGCATTAGCATGCCTGATCGTAGTAGGGATATCCATGGGCAGGTGACAGCCGCCATTGAACCTCCTGGCCAACATCCATCTATTTGCTGGTCCAGGCTTGTGGCGCCACCTGGTTCATCATCCTCCCTGTGTACCGTATTCCCCATGGAGCCTCACCATGCTGTCCCTGACATCATGGTCTTTTGCCCGGCTGTACTCCTCTTGCCGTCCGCCTTGAAGTTCTTCAAAGCACTGTTTTACTCCAGACTGCTATTCCACTTCTGACACCACTGTGGCATCAGCAGAGAGTAAAGCGCTGCAAGTAGTGCTCTTTATTGAAATACTAGCAGAAGAGGCACATAACATGCAGCCAAATCAGGGGTGAAGGTCACCAATAGCCATAAGCTATAAGAGTGATCCCCCACCTCTCATACAAACAACCTGAACCACACGACACAGAAAAACACAAACACATACACAAAACTAACAGAACAACAACATTAACAACACAATTGTCCCTTTTTACACGTCCCATGACCCTCTTTGCATGGCCTTCTGCATGGACACAGTTCCCGAGCCCATCATGGCCAGTAGTGGGACAATACTTATGTACAGAGACTCTATTTTCAAATTTTTTTTATATAGTTTTTGGAAAGTTTTATGAACGTTTTTCAGAGTTTTGAATGCATTTTTAACAGAAATCCATGAGATTCCAGTCTACAGTTGGCATGTATTAACCCAAATACAAACAATAAGAAAATCATTATATTTTTATAGCCATTTGATTCTCAATTTTTTCTCAACCCTATTTGACCCTTGTCCCTCTTCATGAACCAAAATAATCACCCAGCGTAGTGAAATGAACCATAGTATGGTGCTAAGGGCATCAGTGGTAGTATCTTTTGAAATATGCATAACTGATAACAGTGTGTTATCATACCTGTGAAGTTTTCTGAAAGCTTATCTGGGATTCTGTTTTTCATGACAACCATGTTTGTGAGTTATCCTTTATAATGCTTTTATGGTGCTTTTTAAGGCAATTTATTTTTGATCTACAGTAACGACTAATAAATAAAAAAAATAGAGTTTAATGATTGAAAACTGTAGGTTAACAATTTTTTGTTTACTTGGTTTTCTTTTAGATATTACTGGGCAATTATTGTAAACAGGATTACTACTGAAAAAGAAATTGGTGCAATTGTTAAGAAGCTGTATAATGGGCAGAACTACAAGCTTAGGACTAGAGGCATACCATCATCCAAAACACAACATCTGCTGGTTTTGCTGGTGACTGGCATGTTAATTTTGATTGTTGCTGACCAGCATACCAGCGTCCAAAATACAACATATGCTGGTGACCAGGCCTGCTGGTGTATGCTGTTTTTTTCTAGCAGGGCAGTCTTTGCCTAAATTGCGGTGGCAATAGTGAATCACTATAAGAGATTCTTTATGTATCTTAATTTGTGGGAAACCTGCTCTTGATGTTTTATGTACAAAAATATGCGCTTTAATCAGACTAATTTTGAAAATGGCACATTGGGAACACTCTAAATTCACATTAACATTACATATTAGCAGTATGCATCAGCCATCGAAATGAGCCTGGCCGAGGCTGGATGGAAGATTGGCTGTGAAAAACGTCCTCCATGTTGTTGCAGTTAACTTGCTAGGCTAACCCGTAATGGCAGTAATGACAAAAGTGAAAAAACATCTACTCACAAGAGTACAGTGCTGCACACTGATCTATAGCAAAAGATTATTTCTGGCAAATGTGGGGAAGAAAGATTTGTGCTTAGACATGACCTTTTACCTTTCACGCAAGCGAAAAATGGTAAACTTGCAGTGAATGTGAAAAATATACATATCTGATGTGCTTCTATTAGATCTACATGCTCTTTAACACACCAAAGAAAAGAGTAGGATATGCATTCTCTAGACCAAGCTGTTTTTGTTGCTGTACTTTCAAAGCTGATATATGTAAATAATCTCTTTTCTATTATTGTATTAAAGTGTGTTTACATACTATGATTAATTCTTCTATTTCGCAAAAATAGAGGAAACTTTGGTATTTTACGATATGGGCCCATTAAATAGTTCCTCAGGTTATGCCAGTCACAGATTGCATGGTGAACAGTGCAAAGTAGGTACTTGATACCACATCCAACAGAGAAAGGACCTTTATGAACATATCCCTGACTGTTCTCCTTTATAGTAATTATCTCACCCAGATGAAATCCAAAATATCTACTGAAACTCTTTATTTTCTCAAAGATGGCTTTTCTGAACATCATCCTTAATGACTTACCCACGCAGACTGACCCTTTTTCTTAACCCCAATCACGCCAGTCTCCCTCTCTTCCTTCCTCCGCCTGTCTCATCGTCTCACTGTTTGTAATGTTAAGATCATGTCCAGCATTTTAATGAATGATTGTCTGTCTGTCAGTGTTGCTTCTGTGTTGAGGTTCAGATTTAACCATTTAAATTCTTTTTGCTTACTTGAGCAGTAAGTACAATTATACATTAAAATGATAGTGTTGTATGTTTTAAGGCAACAAGTGAAAAGTCCTTACAGTAGGTTCCTCTGGTTAAAGGCTATATTCACCATTTTTTAAAGAAATGTCTGCATAATTCAGTTGTTGAATTGTCATTTAGAGTGGTTTGATGTGAAATGGTTCATTGCAGAGAAACCCAACTCTGATTTCATTATCATGTTGGTGATAGAAACCAGGGGCTACGATGTCTACAACACAAATATAGCCATTTTATTTATTGTCCAAACGACCAGTATACACATATGTTCTGAGTTTTTATACGGAATGTTGATAATAGTAAAATGGAGGTAAATCAGGAAAAAGGAGTTTTTTGTCAGAATCTTTTTATAAAACTACAGTAATACACTGGCTCTGACGTCAGACATCATATTCACTGTCACTTCCTAAAATGACTGTATGGGATGCTTTTAGAGATGTAAAACCCTTCAGACGTCTGGTTCCTATCACCACTTCTGTGAATAATTCTGACTCTGTAAGTTTCTTTAGAATGGAGCATCTCTCTTCAGATCACTTCAAATGAAATTGTTTACATCTTAAAGCTTTAATTATGTAGAAATGTTGAACGACCAGTGTAAAAAGACTGGAATTCCCATTTTCAAAATCACTCCAGTGATTCCAGTTCTGTTCTCTATGATAATGAAAATACTACTTTTAGCTTCTTTTACTTTGCTTAACCAACACCGGTTGTTATGATTGAGACCGCTCTGTCTTTGGGCTTCCATTGAATCTTGTTAAAATATTAAATGACCTAATAAGATGCTTTTTAGTTCTCATAGGCATTAAGTTATTCACATTGCAATGCTTTTAAGTGACATTATGCTTGATTTAGAAGCATCGGATTGACAGCCATGATTTAGAGTCCAAACATGTTTGCATCACAAGTGAGCAGCAGTGCTGGGAATTGTAGTCTCATATACTGTAATCTGTTTGCAGGATGAGGTCTTCAGTCCTTATGGACAGCAGGGCTACGCAGTTGATCCACACAGAAAACATTTGAATAACTGTTTTGAGTTTGAGTACAATTCAGCCATGCAGCAGTGCTATTCATTGAAGATTTCGCACGTCAAAGTTCACCAAATTTGGTGAATATTTGCCCCAGAAGTTTGGGGCACAAATTTCATTAACATTAATATCATTTCACTTGCTAAATTTTGAGCCTGACTGGGCCTTGTCGATTTAAGAGTGCTCCAGATTTGTGATATGTAAGCTGTTTAAATTAGGCAATAAAGCTGCTGTATTTAATATGTTTAAAGGGTTGCAACAATGCATCATTTTCCATCATTTGACTTTTGTTCAAAATGTCATGTAAACATTGAATTGTGAATGCAGTATTCAGAATCAAATTGTTTTCAAAAAATGTTTAAAAATTCCTCATTTCTGTGTTTTGGTGTGCTGGAGCCTGAAATATTCCTTGTTTAAAAAAAAGAAAAGAAAAAAAAAGTGTTTATGATCTGTTTGTGAGTTAACCTTTTGGAACACAAGCCTTTTTGGTTTTTATTCAATCTGATAACAACTTGGTCTTTCTTTTGTAGTAGGAGATTGGCAGTCACGTCTCACTCAGAATATGTGGGCTGGTTGCAGATTTAAAAAACATGATTTATACAGTTCATTATCAGATTGTAAGGATTTCCTCCACAGACTTCAGAGTCTTGCTTTAAAGAGTAATATCACTCATCAAGTAGGTAGAGGTTTAAGATTTCAGTTCGACTACCTCTTTTTTTCATATTCTCCCTCTAGTTTCCTCTTTTGTGGTAATAGGGTCTTTTCTCAGCAATATTTATTTTATTTCCTGTCAAAACTGCCATTAAGTACAAGTTATTCTGCTTTCAGCATCAGGAAAACAAGCAGAAAACATCAAACAAAAGATTACTGTTACTCACCTGAATATCACATTTCATTAATATCACATTTTTCAGTATTAAGTCACAGCTTCCATTCTTTTCAGGAGACTTGCTTTCAAAGAAATCTGCTATTTTTTTAATCAGGCAGTGATTAATCCAGTTTAGATATTCAGACTGTGATCAATCAGATTTAGATACTCCAGCAGTGATTAAACCAGGTTAAGATACTCTGGCTTTGATTAAACCAGGTTTAGATTCTCTGGCTGTGATTAATCCAGGTTTAGATACTCAGACTGTGATTAATCCAAATTTAGATACTCTGGCTGTCGTTAATCCAGGTTTAGATTGTCACCACTGCCATCATGGTTAGAACAGAATAACCCCTAAATGGAGAATGCTGACGCCTGGATGGAGAATGCTGAGAAGTTTGTCTATATTTTAAATTGTAACTTATCAGAACCCTAAACAAGCTTCCACTCATCAGCAATACACAAATTAACCAGTTCTAAATGTATATCATTTAGACAGCTTGTAGAAGTCATTGTTATTAGTTATCCTTTGATTTTACATTATATCAGCTAACAAACCGGGGGACCCCCAAAGGCTAGAGCTGGCCCTGACTTTTGTTCATAATGACCTTGTCATTGAGAGGCTCCCGTGATATTTGGAGAAAAAAATGTACATAGGACAAAATGTATTAGCCACAGGGTGCAAAGGGTGCAATGTTCATTTTTACCATGGGCAAAAAGAGCCTTAAGAGTCTTTATTTGGCCATGTCCCTTATTACAACCTCAGAGGAGGAGCCATACGGTCATATCTTATAAGAGAACAATCAGACACAAATTTCAGATTTCCAAAGAAAGTTTATTTTGTTGATCAATCTGTTGAACTCAATCACATTGATTACTCAAAAGATAAGAATGATACACTGAAATGTATAAGGTGATTGCATAAGATTTAAAATAAATTAAATAAAGTGTCAAGTAGAAGTTCTCTAATTTAATAACAGTACTTTAGATTTGCCCAGCTGTAGCGCAGTCAGTGCTACACAGATATGAACAACTAGCACTGCAAGAAGTGGCCGTTATTAAGCACACGTGCTACTTTCTTGCTAGTTGGGCTGTACTCAAATATGCGGGTTCCACTGAAGAAGTAAGTCATACCTGAAACATAAAGTTCACAGAATGTCAGGATTATCAAACTCTTTGTTACTCTTAAAACAAAATTGTTCAAGTATTGCATTGCACTAATGTGTTTTCATGTACTGACCTCCGTACTGGAAAGCTGCAGTAATTTTTCCACTGACCCCTGGGAAGCCCTGTTCCACCAATTTGGGGAAACCCTTGTCCATCGTCTTCCTGCGTTCATCATAACTGCACACATATTTCACTCAGTTAGTCATGTCCTCTCAACACTATGCAGATCATGATTTTATCTGTTGCTATCTGTTGATGTACCTGTAGTAATTGTTGTCAGTGAAGTACAGCGTCTTGCCAGTCTTCTGGTCATAAAGGGCAGCACTGATCTTCTTCACTGTAGCGGGCAGGCCCATGCTGCTGAGGCTCTTGGGATACCCCTTCACAAGGTCATAGCCGAAGAGAGCCCAGACTTTCTGATCTGAAGATAACAGCAAGTTCATTTGTTTATCTGACATTCCATTGCGATTGATTGCATTGTATACGTCATAAGGAATGATATTTACCTTTGATAAGGAACAGTTTGTCTTGTGCTGTGTTCTCATATGCAGCATCAATATTATCCGGAGCCTCAGGCCAGAAGCTCTTGATCAGATGTTGCTTGGCTTGGCTGCTCCCTGAAACGCGCCAGAAGAAGCTAAAGAAGAGAATTCAGTAACAGATGGTTGGTTCTTGAGAGTTCATATCTCAAAATTAACCCAATTTGACACAAGTCATGGTTGGTGTCGAGATTGTGCTTCTTTAGTTTAGAATTTCAAGCCAAGCTGCTAATGTTGCTAACAAACACTAGAAGTCAATAATCACCCAAATCTTATCTGTAAATCCGTTAAAAAAACACGCATCCAAGTTGTGGTTTGGAATACAGTATAACTTGCTGTGAACTACAAAAATGAACTTTAATTAACTTAAATTTAATTAACTGAACACTATAGTCAGCCATTTTTGACAGTAGTGTTGTGCTGAATTTTGACTCTCAAAAAGAAGTTTTGTTCATTTTTATAGCTTATAGTAAGTCATACTGTGTCCTTAACCACATCAACAACTCTGTGCAATCTTAATGTAGATGTGTATTTGGTTTCCGCAAAGTTTTGCAGCTGTATCTACAGAAAACATTTGGGTGACTATTGACTTCTAGTGTTTGCAAGCAACCTTAGCTTTGTAGCTCTAGTGCTAAACTAACGAAGCAAAATTTGGATGCCAAACATAACTTGGCTGATTGACTATATCTTGGATAAGTGGAATATTGTGCACATTTGAGTTTTCTTTTACTTTAAGATGGCATTTTTGTGTATGTGTACCTATTTTTGAAGAAGATCTTCTCTCCTCGTAGTGTTGAAGCTGCATCCAGGACAAGGCTGGGGTCGCAGGCATTGGGGGTGGCTGGAGGAGTGGGGTTTGGTTTATCAGGGATCACTTCAGTGTTTGGGCCTGGAGAAATTTTAATTTATAAGTTGTTAGGAAAGACAGTGAATGGTGGGTTTTATGTCGGAAGGTTATTTCAATAGAACTAAGGCATGTACACACCATAAAGAGACTGAATTCCATTGACATCGTCCTTGGGCAGAACAAACGTGTTTGGATCCCTGTAGCTGTATGTGGGGTACATCAGAGCACCGGGGTCGTTGGAGTGTGAGAGGCCCAGAGAGTGTCCAAATTCATGAGCAGCCACCAGGAACAGAACATATCCTGAATAAAAAGCACATGATGTTTATTAAAGATTTATAAGTTGTGCTAGTATATTTAGTGTATTTCTAATTTGCATGGTTCAGTCTATTAACCCGGCTCACCGTTAGTGGAACGGAAGGTGAAAAGTTCATCATCATCAAAATGGGCATCTCCACCAATGCCAGAAGAAGGAGCAAAAGCATGAGCCAGAGTGCCATCTGGTCCGTCGAATGGGTAGTAATCGCCATGAGCTAAAAAAAAAGAACATAATATTTTCAGTTATATTTGTTGAGTATTTAATTTATTATTAAATACATTTTTAAACCACTTTTTTAACCCTGGTTTTCTCCCCAGTTTTTTTGTAGCCAATTCCCACCTGCTAGGAAGCTACGATGCCCGCTAACTATGATTCCTGCTAGCTACGACACTATCATGCTGGGAGAGTGAAGGCTAAGACGTGCTTCCTTCAAGACACATGAAGTACTGCCACATCTTTTTAAACTGCTACTAACACATTTATTAACAGCCTAAAATGCTTGGAGGAGAGCGCTAATTGCTACTTCTGTTACATCAGGTAACAGACAAGCACATTTCAGCAACAAGCTAAGTGATGGAGGAAGAGTGAAGACCTACCCAAGTCCTACCCACCCAGAGAGAGGAAGGGCAGTTATGATCTTTTGGAATCTAACTCACAACCTCCTGATGATAAGGTCAAAACTTTGGGGCTGTAAGGACATTTGATTTGGCCCACCAGAAAGTTACCTGAATCCCACTGCCTCACCCAATGAGAGAGCTAACATAATTTTATACTATATATATATATATATATATATATATATATATATATATATATATATATATATATATATATATAAAACGTATTTAATTCATATTTTATATGATAGAATTGTTTTTAGTAACACAATGTAGTATAAACATATTTTTATTATTTATGAAGATAGGACAAAATATGTACTGTGTCACTACTACTAGCATTCAAAAGTTTGGATTTGCTGTTTGAAAGTTTGAAATGTTTTCAATAATGTAAAATCAATTTGTTTCTAGACAGGTGTATATAATGATTCTAATATGCTTGTCCTGTCACAGTTCAAATAATTAGTAGGACACTATTAAGCTGTAAACAAAAATTAAGAAATGTTAGATGAGTCCATGTGTGTAAATGATTCTAAAATGATTGAGAAAGCTGAATAATATTAAGAATAAGGTTATAATAAATTAATATCCAGAATTAATTATATTTCAAATGCAATTAAATCTCAAAGCAGAAACCTTGATGAAAAAAGAATTCTTCCATTGTAGAATAAAATGTCTGAAAATTAAATTTAAATATACTTAAATTTACACTGTAAAAGTTATTATTGTGTTTAAATTAAAAATTGTAAATATAGCGTTTATTCCAAACCTTTGCATGCTAGTTTAAGTCATCCACAAGCATTGCACTTTACATTACACTTTCATTGCTTATATTAGGTTACTTATGTTTTACTCTTCGATGTCCGCATTCAGTTTTTTATACTGACTAACATGCATAGACAAAAATGCTTTTTAGAGCTTTTTCTATTTGCATTGTTTACTCTGTCTAAGCAATTAAAACCCCTTTTTGAACATTTAGAAATTCTACATACCATTCTATCTTATCATCCTTATCATCTCTACATGGCCCTCATATTCTCTCATGCATCGTCTTTCATATCTATTTCACTGGAATATAGCCAACTTTGCCTTACTCTGAGTTATAGCAGATAATAGTCCTGAATCTGTCACCCACAACAACTCTGCCCAAGTGAATCTGTAGTAGATGCAGGTGTCTTTGAGAAAATCAGGGTGGATGAGTCTTAAACCAATAGACTCTCGCCGTGTCCATTCTTAGAATAATCGAGAAATGCAGCAGAGAGAATAATTACTGATCTTTATCCCTAAGAATACTCTTTCTTTTATCATATATGAAATTATAGAGTTGTTCCTTTAGATGTGAACTTACATCCTGCGCCGAAGGAGACCATGATGTCGGCTTCACCGCCGTTGATGCAAGTGAACTTGAGGGGAGTGACGCGAGCCCAGACTTGCAGTGCTTTTTCTATAACTTCGTCCACTTCAGCCTGAGACATGTCTGGAGTGTAGTTCACAATTCTGTAGGAAATTGGAAACCATGGTCAAGCTTATATATGTATGTAATGCATATATATATATATATACATGCATGGGTATGTGTGTATATGTGTGCTCTGCAGTAAGCTACTCATGCTCTCACCGGTACGTCAACTGGTTCTTCTGCCATTTGAGACCTTCACCAAAGGTGGAATACTGAGCAACATCTGGAACTCCACAGCGGGGCTTCATCATCACCTTCAGTGTCTCTTGATCCACACTTCCCGTCACCGTGAGCCCAAAAAACTTCTGCATCTCGGCTATTTTCACACTCATATGACTGCTCCTCCCTTTGGAAGCGGCCCCGCTTGGCTCCGTGAAGTTGTAGAACTTCTTTAGGTAAGTCTGCAAACAATAATAAGAGCTAAATTAATCTGCTGATCATAGCAAATAACAGTTTTTCATCCTGCATGTGAAGTAACATTTTATATTCAGTAGAAGTTACAATACCTGCACTAAGGCGTCATTGTTCTCAGCTTGGCGTGAGATAGGACCCGAATGGATGGCCACCACCAGGCCAATGAGAACGCAGAGCTTGTAGCAAGTCTTCATGTTTCCCAGTCCTTCTGCTGCTGCTCGACTTAGACTCAGACAGACAGCGGCTTAAATACCCTTAAGACAGCGGCATGTTGAGCAACAGACTGAGTCATCAGTCTATTAGTCAGGAGACATCACAACTGATGGACAGGTTTACAGCCCAGCAATACTCACAAAACAGAAGTGTTAACAAGCTGTAGTATGTTATTTCCAAAGACACAGAGTGTCTAGTTGGGGGCAATACATTTTGTTATACTTTTAAGACAATGATTATCTTTTCCCAATCACCTGATATATTTAGGATTTGTATTTATTGCTAAGTAAGTAAAATCATATTTAATAGTAAGGTCAACTGATATTTATAGAAATAGAGATTAACTGAGATGATAATAAGCAAAATATTTACAGAATGATCATTTATATAGTGCTTTCTGTTGGGAGGTATCTGTCCTAGACCCTAACCCATAAATATACACCTATAATGCCAACACTTATCTGTATTTTTTCAATGTTTTTAAAGATCTTTTTGACATGCAGTTGAAGATTTATATTTATCATATGTTTTTCATATATTATTTTTCATTTAGGAGATGCAAGGTTTTGATTTGACAGCGAAGATAGATTCATATCACTGCTATCCAACTATCCAAAGAAAAACATGTTTCTACTTATGTATGTATGTGTGTATATATATATATATATATATATATAGATAGATAGATAGATAGATAGACAGATAGATAAATAGATATACACACATAAGTCTGCTGTTTGAACAAAACTTCGTATCTCCAAAATAACAACTTTACAGGAGAAGGAAAAAACATACTTTACTTTTAATGTAGTTCAGAGGAACCAGACATTTTTCCAAGCCATCTTTCAGCCGTTTCTTTTGTTTCTCCAATGCTAGCCCCTATTTCACAAATGTATTACTATGGCAAGAAATTAATTTAAAAAAGGGATCTTTTATATTTTGTACAGAATGATGACCAGAGCTGCAGATGATCCTAAAATGACTGCAAAAACTGTACTAAGATCAAGAATCAAGTTAAAGTGTAATAAAATGAAGAGACAGTATATTTTTTATCATGAAATGAAAAGACAGTATACTATTTATCACATGATGACTTTTTATTATATCCAAACTATTGAATATAATACTTGAAAATACCTTCTGTGTTTAGTTATATAACATTTAAACATATAATTGAAGTTAAATGTTGTATAAGCTGTATTCATTTCTCAGCATCAGAAAAAAAGAGAGAACATATTGCAATATTTTAATAATTAGTATATCTGCCTTTACCTTGCAGGAGACTCACTTTCAGTTTTGCAAAGAAATCCACAATATTTTGTCACAGTCTTAGAAGTTGGTTGTTGGTTGTGGTTTATTTATTTATGGATGTATTATTATTATTATTATTATTATTATTATTATTATTATTATTATTATTATGACTCTATTTGAAAGAGTAGTAGGGTTGTGTTGGAGGCTGGCTTGGTTTATAAAACATATGGCTCATATGTTTTCTGATTTTTTCTTATTGGACTGGAAATACATATATGTATGTACATATACATATATATAGCTATATGTGCGTCTGTGTATAAAACACATGCTTTTTCTGACTTTAATTTTCTTCCAGTTAATGAATTATTCAAACAAGAAAAAGAAATAAAGAAGAAATAAAACATGAAAAAAAACCTGTTATGTAAGAAACACAGTGTAATGTTTCTCAGTGTAACAAGCACGATTACTATAATCTGGGAAAACTTACAGACAAGTCCCTACATGCTGGAAGAGCATCTTCAAGGAAATGACTCAGTGACTCCCTATGTTGTTTTGGATCTGATTCACAACTGTCTGTGACGGTAGATCATTCGTCATCAATGTATAGCTACTGTATCATTTAGATTTTACACTCTAAAGGACATCTTCGAAGCGAATGTCCAGGTATCTGTTCCACACATCACACATGAACCGGCCCGGCCTGGATTTTATGTGACAGATCATCGATGACGGGCACCTCACTTTCGTTAATACGGGGCATTGTGCAATGAAGGCACTGTCAGAGAGAACTCAGATCAAAATACATGTTGTGTAAGGTCACTCCACCCTGGGTCAGTCATGTCGGGAAGACTTCTGCACTCTTTGTATGCTTCCTATAAGAAATCCCTCTCAGTTTACAGTCTGAAAAAAACATCATAAGGCCATTTTCAGCCATGGATCTCATAACAATACTTATGTTTTCAGATTTAATGCATTCTAAGGTCAAGATTCAATATGATTTTTTATTTTTTTACAGGATGTATTGAAATTGTTTTGATTATAAAAAGCTCTAATGCTGGATACAGTTCTTATTTCAAAACCATTGCAATGTAGCATGTCCTAGTGGTAAATAGTGATCTTATAAAACAGCTCTCGTATAAAATATGAAATATAAAAACATATACATGTCTCCATTTTCAACTGACAGTAAGTATAAATTTTAATTTACAATTTTCAATATACAATTACAAGTCTCAATTGAAGTATTCTGACGACGTCGTAACAATTTGGTAGGCAACTTCAAGTTCATTTAGCTGTGCTGTGGCAGTTAAACACATTTTTTTGTATCACTTTTTAAATCTCATTTTAAAAATGATTAGCTCATATTTGAGTGTATTAGTTTTATTCTGTAGATTTTTTTTTATTTGTTGCTGTAGTGATAAATAACGAAAGCTGAAATCTAAATGGCTGAGATTTCCCACAGCGTTACTAGTGCCCCCTCCCAAACCACATACTAACACATTAAATAGTATGTAAACGTAGTGCATATACCATTAGAAGTGCACTCGTTAGTGTAGTAGGTGAAGTACAGAAGTGTGTGGTTTGGGATGGCACGTTAGATCAGCCAGTGAGACGCGTTCAACAGCTGCTCTGCTGCACTGCTCGTTAGCTGCTCATTAAACACCTCCAAGAGAAAGTTTGAGGTATTTGTTGATTAAGGATCATTTATTGAGATAAATTAATGCATTTATTGAGTAGAGCTGATGTTGCTTCGTATTCGCCAACTTTTGTCATATGTTTTACGTTTAAAGTACCTCAAAAAAATTAAATGCGGCATCATTTAAGGTGGAATGGGAAATTCAAATGAAAACCTGGTGAATAAGAAGCTAACTTCAGCTTTGCATGTCTGTATGTGTTTACTATTTAAGAGCTTTGGCAGGTTTTTGTAAAATCTCACAGATCTGAACTCTGGAGAAATGCAAGTTATATGGCTCCAGTCCACCAATCTAGCAAATCTTCTCCTTGGAGCATTTTCTGGAGATGCATCTAAAGTGTCTACATGTCTTTTCATGTTTTTTGTGGTCATTCTGATCTATTTTTGCTTATTTTGTAAGCAACAGCAGGGCTGTATCTGCAGTAACACTGTTGAGACAAGCTCTATCAGAGCACAGTAAGAGTTACAGCTTGCCTACCAATGACGTGGTCTTCCTCTAACTCACAATTTTTTTTCCACACAAAATAGTCACGTATACACTGCATGATGCCTGAGACATTGTTTTATGATAGTTTTGTGATAGGAGTTTGGACTAAAATCCATTTTAATCCCTGTATTTTAACCCATCAATGGCAGAAAGGCACATATAGAGCATTCTAAGGAAAAAAGTAGTACCTAAAGACAACTTATTTTATCAGATTTATCACTATTTTTCCAATCATTACCATTAGAAGGCATGTGTAGGTGCACTGGTAGTTTCAGACAGTACAAAACCAAATCCAAAAAAGTTTGGCTAGTAGGTAAAATGCAAATAAAAACAGAAAGCAGTGGTTTACAATTCAACTCTGACCTGAATTTGTGCAAAAACTGTACAAAGACAAGATATATAATGTTTTATCTCATCAATTTCATTGTTATTTTGTAAATATATGCTCATTCTGAAATTGATGAGTGCAACACATGCCAAAAAAGTTGAGACAGGAGGAGTTTAAGACTAGAAATGTACAAAAAAAAAACATCTTAAACAGATGATGCTGTAACATCCTGTCTTTCCCTGTGCTTGTCTTTCTCTGTTTCTGCCTGTTTTCATTCCCTCGTGTGTCTTGCCACGTGCTTTTGTTGTTGTTTTGGAGTTTTTTGTCTGTTTAGACCCCTTGGTCTGGTCTGTTCCTTGCTTAACATTGTTTTGTAATGTGTTTTGCTGATTCTTAGTTTGAGTGTTTAGTCCTATGTATTCTGATCTCTGTTCTTTGCTTTTAGTTTTTTCTTTCCTTTAGTACTTTCCTTGTTGTGCTTTTCTTTTCACTTGCACCCTGCCTTCTCATCTCCTCCGGCTTCCGACACGTTATAGATGCAATCATGCTTGGATACAACAGAAGCTTCCAGGAAAGGCCGTGTCCTTTATGAGTAGGGATGGGTCGAGTCTCGCCACAAAAAATGTGTCAGCAAACAATTCAACAGTCTCAAAAATCACATTCCTCAACAACAAAGATTCGAGAAATCATTTCAGTTCAATTAATCTTTATTGTCATTATACATGTATAAAGCACAGTATAACAAAACACATTTGAGCTGCTTCTCTGGTGCGTAAACACGACAAGGACATGAGTGCATGTGTACTAGTGGGATGACAGACAGTTTGTATACACAAAATATACACAAAAAAATGGAATTGATTCACGAATGCCAACTTAATATAATTTCTGCTCAATTTATCCTTAAGACATTAAAACATTGCATTGTAAAATATTAAAAGCAACTTTTTTCAGTTCACACATTACACTACTTTAGTCTCCAACTTAGTGACTACATCAAACTGACTCGCTGAATCGAATTATACTGCACAGTCTTGTGCAAAAGTTTAGGCACCCCCAGTCAAATTACGTTTTGTTAATTTTCTCATTGCAATGATCCCCACTCAACCCCCACCTGTTTGGTTCAAATCTTTGGACACTACAATAACCAAATTTTATTGGAACAATAAACCACCCAGAATTAAACTCTCCACATTACAAAACTCAAAGTCTCACGGCGGCCTAGAAGCCCCAAACTTCTTCCACTATTTCCTTGCAAATCAGCTCCAATACATACTAAAATGGAAAAACCCCAACATACCAGACAGATCATGGATCGATATAGAACAGGCACTATGCAAAGACATCCAAATATTCGATTTACCATTTATCAGTCAGTCAATTAAAAAACATCCATGTTTTAACAATATAACAGTGGCA